GAAAAAGCATCTCATCTTCCATCCGAATCAACCAAAAAGTGAAAATTCATTTTTTGACACCTAAGCCCCCTTTCCGTAGACCAGGTCACATATATTTTTTTGTTTGAACGTTGTCGCATGCCGAAAGGTACATCCCACAAATGTATTTTGAAAACTTTTGATTTTGAAAATTTAGGAAAAGTCAGTATAAACAATTTATACGAGTGAAAATGAATAGATTTTTCCCATTTTTGGACTTTTTAGTTAATTTTGGAGACTTGTTAAGGACCATGTCGGGACTGGGTAAAAACCATTTCGGGCCTAGTTCACAACTATTTCTGGACCATTTCGAGACTAGTTCAAGCGCTATTTAGTAACATTTTCATGGCTAGTTTGGGTTCATTTTGGGACTAGTGAGAGACCATTTCGGGATCAATGCAAACTTTGTTCGAGATCATGTCAGGACAAGTTCACCACTTTTTCATAACCACTTCAAGACAATTTTGGGACTAGTTCGGGATTATTTCGGCGGGTCACGAAAATCCTTTAAGAAAAATCCCCAACTATTGCCGAATTAGTTATGAAAAGTTCGTCTATTGCGCCCGACAAAAGTAATAAGCCTAACCTATTTATATATGTAAATAAATCCCTTAAGGCTTTGCCAAGTCGCACACAGATTTATGCATATCAAATTTCATGAATACCTGGTACTCATGCATTTTTTTCTTTTTTTCCTCTCAATTTTCGCTTTCACAAGCACAAAAAAACTTGTTCGCTTAAGCCTTAATTGCGAAATTTATTAATATTCTAAGACAAAAACCCGAACCCTGATTTGCTATCAGCTATCAGCGCAACTATTTTTTAATTAGATGCAAATGATTGGCCCAGTTTCGTTTGTTTGCCAACATTTTTCTATTTTATTGCTGTTTGCATAGAGTTTCATCTAATCCCCTTGTCATTCGTGTCTTTTTTCTGCTCTTTAATGTTTCTGTTGTGTTTGTTTTTTTGTTCTTTAATTCCATCTGCATCAGTGCTTTTAATTTTATCTCGTGTCCGTGTTAGTCGCGCTCGCAAATTTACTATTATTTCCAACAGAAAGTGCAAGAAATAAATTCTTATAAAACTTCTTAATACCCCACACTGCATTGACTGCCAAAAATAATGTACATATATGTACATATATATGTAAGAATGTATGTACGTATGTATATGTGCACTAGCATGTGCCATCGACTACAGTCTTGTCTTGCAATCCTCAAATATTTACGACACAGTTCATTGTGGTTGGCTGCCAAAAAACCAGCGCCAGCAACAAAACAAAGTCAAAAAGAAAGTAAAAGCGAAAAATAGGATCAACAAAAAAGTCTTACACACGGAATCAGGAAGAAGTGCGCGCAAACAAAAAAAAAAAAGCGGCGGCACAACTGCAAATGCTGGCGAATAAAAGCGCAAGCAGCTAACGAGTAGGAAATAATCACGGACCGGAGGCCCACAAAAAAAAAAGCCAAACTCAAAGTGAACACAAATTAACAGCCAACGTTTTTCGTGCCACGCTGACTTAAATACATGCACTGATACATCCATACGTACATATATGTATATACAATATTATTGTAGTTGATTTAATTTTTCATGTACTGCTATCTACTTGTATGTAGTTTTCTCTTCTTCTCATTCTTTTTTTCTCTTTCTTTTTTCATGTCCTTGCGCCGCCGACCGCCGCATCTGCGCTGCATTTGCTTCAACGCTTTTTGTTGCTTCGGTGCAGTTGGTATCGCGAGGGTACCAATACTCCGCTACAGGCTGCCGTCCGCACGGGCGGCTCAAAGGATCAGCCCACAAATGCAACATTGACGCTGCAACCGCGTCGCGAGGACGATGGCGCCAAATACAAGTGTGTCGTACGGAATCGTGCAATGAACGACGGACAACGGTTAGAGGCAACCGCAACTTTAAATGTTAACTGTGAGTGGAACATAACGGAACATTGATTTTACTTGCACTTTTTTTTTTGTAGCTATATACTGTATGTATATTTATCCGTTTATCCTTTTCATTGAGGTTGATAAACGAAATGAATTTTTGGCTTCGAAAAAAAAAAAAACGAAAGCGAGCGTGCAGGAATTGACATTCGGCAATCACATTGCCTTGATTTCTTATTTAGGGGTGTATGCCTTGATTACTTACATATTTATATAGATACCCACTTAATTCTATGATTTTTTTCACCATTCGTTACTTTCTTACGTAACTCCTTGTCAGTCTAACTATCTATATTTATGCACAAAACTAGCGGCCTTTTTTTAAATTATACCCCGCTGTTGCCCTGTTTGACTAATAGGTGTTGTAAGCGCTCGCCACTTACGGTACGTAATTTATTGCACGCACACGCTTTGTCCAACTGAACATGATTATAACTAAAGTATTTTCGAGAGCTACACTCCTAAATGAAAACGTAATTCTTTAGTTCTTCATTGACTACATACGCGTTTCTGGCACTCGCATTGTTGCCCCACATTTATTTCATTTGGGCACCCTTTTTTCGGTCATGTCATCAGAAACCGCTATTCGTGCTCGTTTTCATGCATTCTACTTGCCTCCCAAATTAAAGTTAAATGTTCAATTATTACGATTGAAGGTATAGTCCATAATTACCTCTCAAGGTCGCGATGACTTGTTTTACTTCCCTTATTCCAATGGACTCCACCTTACCTTTTCTTACAGGCAATTGTGCGCCATGTAGGAAATATTAAGCTAGTCGCCATCAACTTTCCAAGCAGTAATTCGAAAGGCAACTTGGGTTAAAACGTGGGATAAATTTATTTTGAAGAATTTCTTCTTAATAGTGTCAGCATGACAACTTCCGTAACCCAATATGTACATAGGTCGAGCTCAATGTTGCCACTCGGAATTTTTATTCTACCAAATCCAAATCCCTTCCACATGAGTTCAGAACCTAGCAAGCGTGAAGCTTCGCATTTTAAGCTACTACTGCTTTTATTTACACCCTTATCTTTTAAGCCAATGCGAATTAATGAAAATGCATCAAAAATTTGGCCGGCCACTTGAATATATCGCGCTCCTCACTCGGTAGACTGAAAGATCTCGTAGAGAAAAAATCGGTTTCGACTTTGTGCCATCTTTAATGTAATTTCTCATTTTACGCAACGAGTTTTGACAAGCATTCCAAAATATATAATATTCTGATTCTTTCTAAATGATAATAAATAAGTATAATGGTAATGCGAAGCTAACTTCTAAGTTAAAAGATGCCAAACATTTCACAGTATAGCTGTCCTAAGACTAGTTTCAGAAACGTGCAGATAACGAGAAAGCAAGCTTTCTCGCTTACTCTTTTTACCATTTTAATTACATGAAATTACGAAAATGTGTTCCCAGTTCTTGGTTTGAATAAAACCTACCAAAAAAAACCAAGTGAAAAATGTGCTACCAATTTTGGTAGGAAAAGCTCAAGAACGGCATCACTGGTAGAGCTGTAAGCTGTCAGTGATAAGTAGGTGCCCGGTTTGGTGCCAGATCAGCGCATTTTTTTCTTCTTTTATCTTAATTTAGTAGATAACCTCATACAAATCGAAGAATTTGCTTTCGACGCAATCAATATTTAAGATTTTGCTTGCGGTACAAGAATATTATCTTTTACAGAAAGTGCTTCATTAGTTTATGATGGTTTGTCTTTGTCTAAGAAGATGAGGTATTTTTGTCCCATCAGCAACTCTTATAGCCAATACCATCGAATACTTAGCAGAGACCAACTGGGCCTCTAGAAATTACTAACTTAAGAGCTCAAGCCTAGCCAGGAGATAGAATTCCAAGCTATTATAAAGAGAATGTTAGTCTTTTCTATGATTTTGTAGCCGTTTCCAATGAAAACTATTTTGGAAAGACAACGATAATTTACATATGCTATTTCTGAGATCACCATATCTCGCCATCAGACTTCTGCATCGAGTTAGCTGGGGTTTAAACAAGCGACTACGACTTACAAAGCTTAAAAATGCGGTTATTCAGCTTTAGTAGTCTCGTCTTTTCTTCACATTGACAGCATGAGTCCGTTCATTTGAAAATTTCATCTTGGCTATTTTAGGAGACTTACAGCATAAGCCGGTTGAGAATTATGGTTAGAGAGTGAAATAACTGTAAAACATAAGTTATATAGCGCATTATTTTGCATAATTCTTGGCGCACTTTTACAACTAATCTAAGAGAATAGATGACCTTTTTTACCTTGTTATCTGCTAGTTGTATTCAAAGGATCTGAAATTGCTATGTGTGTTTATCTTGATAACATTTTTTGGTTAATAACTGATTCAGTAAAACTGTATTCAACATTAAATTTTTCCATTTAGGACCTATATGTCACCTTCATAGTCTCTGTTTATCAATTTTGCTGGGAATTTCTGTCAATATGTTCCCGCAGATGTGGAATATGTGAGACCACATGCTAACGTTAATCTTACGAAAAAATATGTCCATACTCAAAGGTTAATACAGTTGATACCTATTTTTCCTGCTGGGTTACCCCACACTTTTTGAAGCAACGAAAGTTGTCACCTGCTAACGTATTAAATATGCCATTTTATCACCAACGAATCACTGTTATTATTTTATTTGGTTATTTATAGTGCAATCAAAATGGTTGTGGGTGGGTGTTAACAATTTTTCACCTCGATGCGAATGACAACTGAACGTTGTGCTCGGCCGCAATACACGCAATTGGCATTCAAATCATTCATTTAGTCTGAATTACAAGTGTATGAGAGTGGATTGGTTACTAAGGGAAAATTCTGTATTCTATTATTAAATGTGAGTAATGTTTGCTGGTTTGTTGATGGCGCGTTTGTGAAGAGTTTGAGGATCGCGTGTTAGATAATTTTTGATGAATATTTCTTTTATAAATGAATCAATTTCGATGATTATATTTTTCTATACGAAACAATAAAAACTAATAAAAAAGAAAATGAAAA